TTTCCAAGTTAATCTCTTTACGGCCTCCAGTTTGTCATTTGTAAAACACAGAGGCAATAACCCATCTCTTGTGTAGATCAAATCACAACACAGGGAGAAAAAGCCTGTTGAGAAAAACAAAGCTGGGAATGGGGCTCAAGGCTGTAATTCCAGCACTCAGGAGGCTAAGGCAGGAGGATACTGAGTTCAAGGCCAGCCTGGATATATAGAGAGATTCTATCTCAAAAGAGAAACTTACAAAAAAAAAAAAGGGGGGGAAAAAAATGCTGTCTCTGATGACTAGCACTTCTTGGAAAGGTCAAAGAAGCTTAGAGAAATGATAAAGGCAAGAAAAAAATCTGACGTTGACAAGAAAAAGAGTATTTTGGCATAGGCAAAAGAGCATATATAAGTCCAAGGGATGTGCAGAAAGACAAAATGCAGCAACAGATACTAAAAAGAAGATAAAAAAGTGGCTTCACCAATAAGTACTTACTGATGTATTTTGGTGTCTACACACTAGGCACTGAAAATACAACCGTGGAACAAGGTCCCCTGCTCAGGAGCTTATAATCTAAGAAAGAATGATAGTAATAGCATCAAGTGACCTAACTGAAGCAAAGAGGTCACTAAGAGCTTCTTCTCATCGTTTTTTTTGGTGGTACTAGGATTGAACTCAGGACCTTGCACTTGTGGTAGGCACAACCACCCTCCCGAGCCCTTTTTAGCTTTGGTTATTTTGTTGTTGCTATTGCTGTTTTTTGGTAGGACTGCAGTTTGAACTCAGGGGTTTGAACTTGCAAAGCACATCAATGTCTGGACTGCATCGCAGTCCTGTTTGGTTATTTTGAGCTAAGTAAGGTCTCTCGTTTTTGCTCAGCCAGGCTGGACCCAACTTGCTTTCACTTTCCACATAGCTGGAATGACGGGTCAAGCACCGTGTCCACCTTTTTTTTTTTTGAGATGAGGGACTCAAACCATGATCCTCCTGATCTCCACCTCCCGAGTAGCTGGGATTACAGGTGAGTCACTGTACTAAGCTGACAGTTTCTTTATACAATAGCCAGGAAAAGACCTCTAAGAGGAGAGATTGCTAGGTTGTTTTTTTTTTTTTTGGCAGCATTGGGGTTTTGAACTCAGGGCATTGAAATTGCTAAGCAAGTGTGCTACCAGCTTAGGTGACCCTTAAAACCAAGGGATAGTTAATGAGGTGAGTATCAGAGTAAAGAATATTCCAGGCAGCGGCCATACAATATTGTAAAGGCCCTGAGGCCAGGGAGAGTTGGAGAAGAGGTCAACTGTAAGCAAGTGAGGGTGCCTGCAACCAGGGAGGAGTGTGACCTAGGATAAGATTGGAGAAACATGCAAGGACCAGATATTGCAAAGCCTCATAGTTCATAATTTGGGCCAAATTATGCAAGACTTCTTATTCCAAACTGAGACATATAGACTTGACTGTGTAGGTAACAGGCATGCAACAGAGGATTTTTAAAAGAGATACATGAGTTGGTGGTTTTTAATACTATGAATGGAAGCAGTGTGGAAGATGGTCACAATGAGGAGTAAGGACAGCTCAGAGACTGGATGAGGAAGGTCTACACTAGAGCAGGGTCCATGTACACATAGATGAGAACTCCAGAGGCAAATGTGGTGTGACTGGCAGACCTCATGGCCTGCATTCTGACTTAAAAGTCACAGGCCCCTGTAAATTCCAAAAGTACTGGTCTGCAATGAGAGTGGA